ATCTATTACCCTACTGACAACGTAGGAAGATAAGCAGTTCAATACTGGTAATTCGCCATGTAGATCCTATGTTACAACAGATGGCGGGCTAATTCATAAAATCACAGTAGTGTTGAATTCTCCTAAGACATCGTTCTGTATCCAATAAATGAGATTTCTCTCTATTACCCTACTGACAACGTAGGAAGATAAGCAGTTCAATACTGGTAATTCGCCATGCAGATCCTATGTTACAACAGATGGCGGGCTAATTCATAAAATCACAGTAGTGTTGAATTCTCCTAAGACATCGTTCTGTATCCAATAAATGAGATTTCTCTCTATTACCCTACTGACAACGTAGGAAGATAAGCAGTTCAATACTGGTAATTCGCCATGTAGATCCTATGTTACAACAGATGGCGGGCTAATTCATAAAATCACAGTAGTGTTGAATTCTCCTAAGACATCGTTCTGTATCCAATAAATGAGATTTCTCTCTATTACCCTACTGACAACGTAGGAAGATAAACCAGTTCAATACTGGTAATTCGCCATGCAGATCCTATGTTACAACAGATCATAAATGTAAGTTATTTTTGAATAGTTCCTACTTTTTATACGATAGAGAAATTCATGGAAAGGCTTTGTTCATCAATGGTCGTTCCAATAATTCTTATAATACAGTAGAAAATGGTCTTATTTTCTAAAAATGAAAAACGCATCAAAAATAGTTTTCAATTTTATATATAGATGGCGCTCTTCATAGCCTTGTATTTAATAGATAATTATATAATTTAGAAAGAATTAGAAATAAATTTGTGATATAAAGGACAATAATAAGTGTTTTTCTACGGTTATTGAGCTGAAAGTATTGTAAAATCATTCAATACAAAAAAAAATATTTATTTTGTAAACATATTACATCGAGTCATTCAGTGACAAATATCTTTAGTGTCCTGAAAATGTTCATATTTTCAAGAAATATATCAATAAAAAGCAAAGTAAATGCTGAGAGTATTTTTCTATTTGAACAACACTTCGTAAAATTTTCTGTTGGAATATAAATACACTCATGGACAAAACTCAAGTATGTTTACCATTTACCATGTATATCAGTATTCAGACAATAAATGTGAAAGAAATTACAGTGAGCTTTATTGAAGACACACGAGATAACAAAATCTGAAAAAAATGCTTCTGTTTCCTAATAAAACAGAAAACCACATCAAAAAAACTTTCCACTACCTTATGTAAGTTCCATGAGGGTAATCCTATGTAAATATACATAGTTCGTATTTATCTGGGATATATTTACAAATTTGTTGATAAGGTATCGATGTGAAGCTACGTTTACAGGCGTAAAGAACTGGATTATCTCGAAGGTTGGTCCAGATTAAAAAAAACTCCGCCTTTGCCGGTTCCAAGCCCGTAGAAAAAGGAGGAGGGGAGCAGTAACAATCTCACTAAAGAACCTGGGTTCAGCTGGCCCGGCTGATAGTACCCTGTAAAGGCTCCTAATCCAGGGATACAGAATGAGCAGCTTTTGTACTCCATGTTAAGAGCGGCTGCACATGGCGTCTGTTCCTTATGTCAGAGGCGGCCATTTCTTTTGAAGCTAAGTCAGCCTGCCACTGAGTAGTGGTCCCAGTCTTAATGACAAAGGCAGACATATTCTACTTCACCCAGTCATGATGGTTGTCAAATCTCAAGCTCTATAAGCTTGATACCCTAATATGATTGAGTGGAGATAAGAAAGAAGAAGAAGAGTAAAGATGTTCACTGGGATTTTGAGTGTTCCATGATATATATCACTTCGAGAATATTTCTTCCATTTCTATTAAGAATATTGTAGGGTATATTTATAGGAGAACATCACAATGCATGTAGTGAGATAAGAAAGAAGAAGAAGACAATCACTTTAGTAGAGCTGTATGTAGAATGCCCTCATTGACAAAATTTACGGATACTCGACAAAATTCTTCTGTCGAAACGTGGAAATAATAAAAAGATTTACTGGCCGAAGAGTATATTTAATTTAAAGAACTATGAGAGAATACCGGCAAGACAACCTCTATCTTCATGAAAACTTAAGAAAGTTTTATCTTTTAGCAACTATGTTTAAATTCACCTGCCCATTTTTAACGATTTAAATTGAATGAGCAGAGTGTTCACGTGAAATTTGGTAAACTTGGAATTAATCTAAAACGAAGAATTTAAAAACTACACGATATCCAAGTTTTTCCACTTGAATGAAACACGTGCAAGACGATACTGCAAAGACTTGTTTACACAAACCACTTGAAAGAACAAGTTGAAACTTGTCCTACGAACAAATGACATGCGCGCGTAGGAAGTAAATCATCTGCCGAATGAAATGTCATCTCTGGGTCAGGCCAAAAGGTTTTCACCTTACCCTCGTACATTTACAAACTCAATTTGAATGTATTTCAGTTTCCATATACAAATACACTTATCCCCCGATTTACACGGTACTTGTTTTACACGTTTTCGCTTTTACACGGTTTTCCAAATATATATATTTTTTTGTTTTTATCGCACTATTGAACACATGCGCTGTGTACACATCTCACGAGGAATCCCGAGCTTATGCGCTGACTACATATTTTAACCTGTCAATGCATTTTCTTTTCTGTGTACATCTATCCCCCGATTTACACGTTTTTTCTCAGGAACGTATCTACCGTGTAAATCGGGGGATAGGTGTATACGTGTGTAATAAACGTGTATATACGTAATAATTTACATGTATAATTCCTACACATGTGATTGTGAACTCAAACAATTGTTATAGTATTCATGATAGAGTTGTGAAAAAATATTAAAATTCCAAATATATTCTCACAATGAGTATCTTTTTTATTTAATAAACGCTAGCTTCAAGCGTCTTCAGTTATAAAAATGTTCAGTTATAAATATCCACGCTGCGCGCGTTTGTTTTTTGTAAATATTTCTGGTGGGATAAAGTCGATATTATAGTAAGCCCGTTGAAGAGCGATTAACGCTTGAAAGCTAGCGGTTTTTTTTTTTCAATAAAAAAGATACTCATTGTGAAAATATATTTGTAATTTTAATTGTTATAGTATGTTTATAAATATATATAATGAAAGATAATAGGATTTAATATTTTGATGATTGATATTTGCGGTGGGGCGATTGTAATGATAGAAAGACGCGAAAAACTTCAGCACCGTGATAAATCTATTTTCACTCCTAACTATTTAATTTCTATTTACAATTGTGTTAAATGAGAGACACACTGACAAAAAAGGTTTTATTCACCTTATACATTTCTTATTATCACAGGTTTGTGGATTTCAATAAATTATAAAATGTATAAGACCCTGAAACTCTCTTTATTTATTGTATAAAATAGCTTTCGGACAAGCCCTTCCTCAAAAACTTCCTATGCCCGAAAGCTACTTCATACAATTAACAAAAGAAGTTTCCGGCGTCACATTTTTGTAACGTATACATTTTATTTAAAACCTTTTATGGTTGAAGTCTCTTTTTATCTTGTATTCATATCACCAAATAAATCTGTTTTTTTTTTAGAAAGTAAATGTAAAAAGATGAAGGGTAGAGTGGCAGCGTAAAGGAATCAGACTTATGTTGTTGTTGTTGCTCATTTTTCAAGTCGTTTAAACGATCTCCATTAGGTTCCATTGTCTCAGCTTTTCTATTATAGTCTTATTAAGGGCGGCCAAAAAAACCCAAAAGAAACAAAGTCACACTGAGTGGTACTTCCAGTTCTTCAGACCAACAGCACCCCTCTTTCCTTCTTCATGATGTCAACATTTGTCTCGGTGTATGCTGCATTGTCCTTTGAGCAGATCAGACTTATAGATCAAATATGAAAATAACAAATTGTGTTTGTTTGTTTGTTTAAAACCTCAACTACTATATAATATTTTAGCGTATAAAATCAAGTCTTTATATATCTGGGGATGTAAAAATATTTATTGATGACGTCACCACGACATGTTGACAATTATTAACAACTCAACAAAACTATCTACAGCTAGAGAATCTTGAGTAAGCACGCAAATAATTTTTCGATCATTATTTTATATTGAATTATTGAATTAAATCTGTTTCCAAATATTTTCATTGAGTAATTGAATTGAATTAAATAATAAATTATTTCATCGCCACAATATTTATATATTCATTAACAAATATAAACAAATAAATCTTTAAATTACGAGTATATGATCCAAATTCATATTGGCATAATATATATAAGACATTATTAGAACATTTAAAGTTGAGAGATACAATAGTATAAGACCTAATATAAATAATTTAATAGTGTGTGACTTTTCGGTAACATTAGAGGACTTTTATTCGAAAAATGATTTTTTTAATACGAAGAAATAAGGCGCCATCTATATATAACGAATGAAGACAATAATACGCGAATGTTTCTTTTCACAAATAAATCAAACTTCTACTGTCTTAAAAGTCAAATATATAATTCAAACTTGCCTATGTGATGGATAAGGGAATAAATGTTTTCAATGTTTTATGATAAAGGAAATATTGGAAGAGTGTTTAGACCGATTGGTGACAGTTTACTATAGATATCTTCACACGAAAGTTTCCTGGACATTTTGGAACATTCCTGACGTCAGAGTCGAGGACACGAGTCGGCTGGGGAACTAGAGTCGATGCAGATGTCTCAGCTTATAATTTATGCAACTGAAGACTTGGTCCATTAGGCTGAGTGGTATACTGGATCTCTGTTTAATCTTAATTATCATATAGACCTCACTGCTAAAAACTTCACTTAAAGTATCGACACAACTAGTGGTCATGAGACGAATGGTGTGTTTCACATCCAATTCCTCAAGTTTTGTCCATGAGTGTATTTGTAAAATAATAATTTACGTTCCTGAAGCTAAGTATATATGGGGTGAAGTGAGGAGATATGTATATATATAGATATTTAAATGTAAAAAATATAAAATTGATAAATATATATTAGTAAATTAAATTTAATTGCCATTTATCGTTAATATTTTACACAAATAAATTTACTGGCAATGCGCTTCTTTTAAATATCATCAAATATTATCTCTACAGACCGTACTGTAATGATATGAGTTATTGAATGAGAGGGCTTGGCTCATCAGTAGTGAACCCTCTCAGCGGTTTCGCCAAATTAATCTCTAGACCGCTCTACTATTGTATTGGATTTGTTTGGTATATACCTGTATTTTCTATGGAATGCAGCTTAAGGGTGTTTAGTGAACTATGGACATAAGCTTATAGGTCTTTAGAGGAACATACATATAATTGAATACATATAAATAAGAATATATACAGTCGTCATTGGTGGCGCCCACCGCTGGAAAGACTCCGCCACCGATGGACTGCGAGAGTTCTTTCTCACAGAGTGGGCCGGTCGATGTTATGGCTGGTTTTACCCACATCAAAACCAATAAGGTACTTGTAGATGGTAGCCTTTACCACACTGATTAAATCCATTGTCTCGGGATGGAGGCCGACACCGAAGAGCCAGGTCTGCAGATCCAGGGGCAAGTCATAGGAAGTGAACACCTCCAGGGGTCTCTCAGAGAGAGAGAGAGTTTTTTTTAGATATAAAAATATTTTATTGACATTATACACAAGTCAATGGTAGTAGTATATAATAATTATAAAAAGAGGGAAAAGAGGGATAAAATATATACAGTTATGTACAGTCGAGGAGATTCCCCCAACGACAGAGAGTCCTCCTCCAGACAGTAAGTCACGTTCTCCCCTGATCTCAAGGCTCAGAAAGAACCTGTGTATTGATGACTTGGCAGACGCGAGATGGCGAGGGCGTCGTCATCCAGCCATTGGCCGAAGAGCCAGCCCTGCAGGTTGGGTGGTTGCTGTATGATGTTGAAGGCCTCCCGTATGAGGGGCCTGATGGAGCTGCAGGACCTGTAGCGGTGGGCCAACGTCAGGTCACTAGAGCCACAGGTGATGCAGGTCTCTAGAGCAGAGGCCGGATGTGCAGGATGGGGAAGAGCGTGCAGGGCCAGCTGTACTTCAATGTCGACATTGTGCCCTGAGAAGGCGAGAGAACACTATACACTTTGATATTAGCCAGAAAGCCGAGAAGAGAGAGAAAGACATTTGACAATTTACATTTTTATTGACATCTTGTCAATACAGGTAAAACTGCAAAGTCCGCACTAATTATGAGAAACTAACAATAATGAAAATAATGATAAAAACTAAAAATAGAGATAAGAATGCGACGTCAATTGCGTGCTGCTTTAAAAAGAAGCACAGTTCCATCACGGACAGCCGCGCACGTTGAGACACGCTATGCGGAACCTCATAGCGTTCTTTTGTTTGTTGACACCCGAAGTTTGGTGAGCCGCTTGCAGAGTGTAAGAGAGAGAGAGAGAGAGAAAGAAGCGCACCAATCAAAGGTCGGGTAATTACAATATTTCTGTCAGAGGATGGATGACTCCCGTGGGAGCTGGAATCAGACCCAGAATCGATGATCGGCTGGTCATTAAAACTTCATCCCCAACTATCATCAAACTTCCGACATCGCTCAGAATGTCCCGGCATCTCTAGACCATCAACTTTATTTACTTTTTAACGGGCATTCCGACTTTACCGAACAATCTTGTGCACAGTTTCCTCTGAATATTAAACATTAAAATACATGTATAATTCGAAATTATTTTAAAGGCGTAAGATTCTTTTTGATATTAAACAATTTCTACTGCCCTTTTTTTCCATTGCAGTAAGGGCAGTAGAAATTGTTTAATATCAAAAAGAATCTTACGCCTTTAAAATAGTATCGAATTTTGATAACAGATGGCGCGCTAGTACACGTATAATTGTTCAATTAATTGTGGGATAGAATTATTGTTAAATAAACTATATTTTGATCCACAATATATGCATTTTCAATTGAAGCTCTATTTATATATTTCTCTCTATTTTAAAAACTACATTTAAATTTGAACGATTAAGACGCGAATATTTCTTTCACAAATAAATCAACTGTACTAACTGCGATTAAAAATTAAAATGTAATTCTACTGTCCTAAAAGCTTATGTCCATAGTTTGCTTAAATACCATTTCTAAGATTCAATCCTTCAGTGTAGCATATATAAGCAGAATCTTCCAATACAGTATTAGAGTTCTAAAAACCTGGTAGATTAAATTGACGTAATGCTGAGAGGGTTCACCATTGATGAGCCAGGCCCTCCCAATAATCTTTAATCGAAGTGGAGTAATTAGAAGTTTGTTTTAATGTGTAAAATAAACATTTGTGTTTTAATTCTTTCATTTCTTGTGTATAGAATGGTGAATTAGTTATTATATTAAAGGAAGCTGTTACATTTGAAAGCTATGTAATCCTACAGAGATATGGACCCTGAGTAGACATGGGTACCTATGCAGTGAAGAGTCAGATGAAACTAACCAATCAACATTGCCATTCCATACGGGTCAAGATGAGAAAAGTTCCAGAAAAGATCTTTTGATTGAGAATTTCCGCTTCCGACCTGTGGGGCCATTCAGAAATCAATTCCGGCCAATTGACGTCACATTCCTGGAGTGGTCCGGCGAGGAATTCCTGCCGCAAGGCTGAATGGGACTATTGACCGCTGATCCACCGCACTCTACCTCACGTCGGACTCGGGACGGCAGGATGGACACACATTTCTATGATAGCAGACTTTCATTATCATACGAAATATTAGAATTTAACTTTTTGTATTAAATTGATATTCAGTAGAACCTCCATGAGAGGAAGCTCACACTAGAGGACACTCCTCTATAAAGAACAGTTTTTATTCACAAAATTATCTCTTTTTTTTTGCTATATAACAACTCTCCGGTAAGAGGCCACCTCTCCCTAAAGGACACTTTGACTCTGCAATTAGATGTTGTCCTTTACAGAGAGGTAGTTCTACTGTATAGAGATAATATATAATCAATTTGAACGATTTTTGAGGCGTATGATCCTTTTTATATAAACAATATTCTACTGTCCTTACTGCAATGATAAAAATAATGGGATGGCCTGCCAGCGGTATCGCCAGTATAATCTACCATACAGTTCTATTGTTGTATTTTGATGTTTCACTTTTATACTGATAGTTTTGTCCATGAGTGTAAATATCTCCAATAAAGGTCTTCACATAAGATTATGGTTGCAGGGTTTTCCCACTATGTACTAAGTGCAATTCTCAGCCTGCAACCCCAAGACATATTATTGACTGTATTGACTCATCCATTGATGCGCTCTACTCTTCCCCGGCAGACACCATCAAAAATCTCAAGCTTTACAAGCTTGATACCTTAGTGTGATTGAGTGGAAATAAGAAAGAAGAAGAAGAAGACATCGAGTTTAGCTCTTTTTGTGTAATTATATTTTAAAATTGTTAAATATTAGTATATTACTTCTCTGCTTTTCTTTTATAGCTTCCTCTATTTTTTTCTTATCTACAGTTAATCATATCAGGGTATCAAGCGACAGCCATCATGACTGGGTAAAGTATAATATGTGTGCCACTACTCAGTAGCAGGCCGACTTAGCTCCAATATGAAATGGCCGCTTCTGACATGAGGAATAGAAGCTATGTACAGCCTCTCCTAACATGGAGTACAGACTCATCATGTACTGGATTATGAGCCCTTACAGGGTACTATCAGTTGGGCCAGCTGAGCCCAGGTTTTTTAACGAGCTTGTTACTGATCTCCCTCCTTATTTCTCATTTTAAGTAGTTTATCAAATATTTTACATAATTTTCTGCAATTTCAAAAACGATAAAAATCTTTAAGAAGGAATAAATGTTTATGACGATGAATATCTGGCGATTTATTTTCTTGTAATTTGAATACAAAAATAAAGAAACACGTCGCCGTAAACTTTTATTCCTTCTTCAAGATGTTGTCTGGATATCTCTTATAAAGATAAAAATATAAAATATTCAAAAGTAAAACTTCGGTCATCCAGCGCAGTATTCATCAAGTTGTACATCAACAACATCAACTACTTTATTAGGACATTTCCGTCCTGTAAGGACTCGCCATACATCATTTTCATGGAGAAAAGGGAAAAAAACATAAACAAAGGAGAGAAGGGAAAATGAAAAGGAAATCAAAGTATTCAACATAACTATGCTTTGTGAAAATTAAATAATTCTATCGCTAAGCAAGTTGTACATTTGATGAGAGTTGGGCGGGGTCATTACGAGCCTAATCTAAGACACCTTAATATACCTTGAAGGAACCATGTCTGGAGAAAACAGAAGTTTCAGAGATATTCATGTAACAAGATTTCACACTTTCTACGAGGGTGAGTAGAAAAGTAAGGTCTCCTATTTTTTTTCATAGAAAAACACATTTAATCACAACTTTTTATACATCATTGGAAAGGTTGGACACTTTGCTATTTTTTACATAGTCGCCTTGATGCTCAATCACTTTTTTCATCCTGTCAACCAACTTTGTAATTCCGGTGTTGTACCACTCTCCCACCGCCTCTTTGAGCCACTTGTCGACCCACCTGGCGGACACCTTTCTGTAGCCGAGGGTCTCAGACACAATCTTGTGCACGGAGAAGTGGCTGCAATCTTCATCAGGCCATCCTCGATCTCTTCAAGGGTTATCCGCCGGTTTGCGCGCACCATTTCGTCGATTCGAGCCACGGTTGATTCCGGCAAACTCGGCCGCCCAGACCGCTGTTCATCGTGGACGTTTATCCGCCCCTCGTTAAACTCCCGGCACCATTTCCGCACATTTTTGATGTCCATGCACTTCTCACCATACACTTCCACTAACTGACGGTGAATTTCGACCGGAGAATTATTTTTCGCATTTAAAAAGCGTATAACAATTGGCTCAAAGAGGCGGCGGGAGAGTGGTACAACACCGGAATTACAAAGTTGGTTGACAGGATGAAAAAAGTGATTGAGCATCAAGGCGACTATGTAGAAAAATAGCAAAGTGTCCAACCTTTCCAATGATGTTTAAACAAGGTAAAATCCTCTGGAGTAACTTGGTAAAGAAAACATTCAAAGACAAAGAGGATGAGTATCTTTTTATGAACAAGCGTTCGAGCTTTCGAGCACAAAGTCGCCCTTCAACAGGAATTTGTGCTCGAAAGCTCGAACGCTTGTTCATAAAAAGATACTCATCCTCTTTGTCTTTGAATGTTTTCTTTTCCAATGATGTATAAAAAGTTGTGATTAAATGTGTTTTTCTATGAAAAAAAAATAGGAGACCTTACTTTTCTACTCACCCTCGTATATAGCGTTATATAAACAGTAACACTTTCTCAAGATAAATTTATTCTGTCAAAAAATAACAAACATAAAATAATAAAAAAGGTCAGGTATTTGTTATTAAAACCAAAAAGGCATATCCTGACCAAGTTCACATGAATTTTTATATGACAGAGTGCCATCTAGTGTAACGGTTGGCCAAATATCAGGGAACAAGCTGAATCAACGTTTAGTTTATTTCTGTTCCACTAGATGGCGCACTGCCATCTAAAAATGTGAACGTAGTCGGAATATGCCATTTTTGATTTTAATAAATATATTCATAAATAAAGTTATACATACCTATCTATTAGTAAATTAAATTTTATTGCCCTCTATCGTTAAAATTTTACACAAATAAATTTACTGGCAATGCGTTTCTTTTTTAAATCTCTACAGACCTTAAATTTTACAGTAAATTTATTTGTGTAAAATTTTATACCTATCTATGTAGCGATTTAATAAAATGAAAGAAGACAAGTTTCTTTAATCATTTAACGACGCAAGCTTTCGGGCAAAAACCCTTCAACAGGCAAGCTAAAGCATAAACACGTTCATAGTGTTGTATTTATGCTTTAGCTTACCTGTTGAAAGGTTTTTGCCCGAAAGCTTGCGTCGATAAATGATTAAAGAAACTTGTCTCCTTTCATTTTATCAAATCGCTACATTTCTTACCGAGAAGAATCTTCTATATCTAATACCTATCTATGCTCAATCAAGACCAGATGATTCAAAAGAGTTGTATATTAAATGTGGAGTGAGAGTCAATGCTGCAGGTGGGGCTAATACATCAGCAAGCGTCATTTAAATGGCAATTTAAAGCTTTCACATACCCTCTCTCTCTCAAATCAATAAAAATTGGCGAACATTAATCTAACCCCTCCATCCGTCATCCACAGAACTGACTCCGCCTGCCCATTCGGCCGCCATTTCCTGCGCTAAAAAACTCTTGTTGCTATTTTTTAATGGGCCATCGTGACTTTACTTCAGTGTGCCAGATAGATTTAAGACTTCCAATAAATTTGGAAGTTACTTTGACTGCATCGTGAGTTCACACAGCTGGAAGGGAATCTAATGAGGTATGGTGAGACAGGAGATAAAGAACATTTATTAATTTTTTTTCTTATTACTAATTATATTTATCTTTTAATTAGAATATTATCGAAGCAAGGAGGACCTTTTCATGAACCGTCCATAGATTCTATAGTACATTGTATCTGATAGGAAAGATTATTCCATCCTATTCAATGTTTTAAAACCGAAAAATTTGTTTAAACATTTTAGACAGAGTTTGTCCTCTTCAAGAAAAATATTACAGGTACATTATTTTAAAATTTCGATATTTTTTTAAAGCGCTATTCATATATTTTTTTATTATTTTTCCTGACGAACATATAAAGAATTTTGTCAGAACGTCGAGAAAATAAACAAATTTCTGACCAAAGTGTCTTAGATATTGAAGAACTCTGAATACCAGCCTGGCAATCTCTATCTTCAATATAATATAAACCAATTCTATATCAGCGCGCCATCTGTTATGTGATATCCGAACTATTTTTGACGCTCAGGATTCTTTTTTTAAATAGGTAAATGTAAAATTGTTTTAATTCAACAAGAATCCTTGGACTCAATAATAGTTTATATTTCTTATAGCAGATGACGCGCTAATGCATCATAGTAAGGAAGAGATAGTACTCTATAACGGTTATAGAAAGGAGATAAAAAATTAGTTTTTTTTTTCAAAATATTTCCATGGGGTATTTATTCATGCCATTATGCATACATACATAAACATGTATACATATAAAAATGGTGATGTGTTCTAAGGTGAGGTGGTGCCAGATCTCTAGGCAAATTTACAATTGGTGAAGTCAATCTCTGGATGCTGTTCCATGAACTTCTTGAGCACATCTCTCTTCTTCTGCTCATCAGAAGTGGGCAGACCCATCTCCTTCTGTCTCTGGTCATAGAGCATTTTCTCTACCATGGAGTGGGTCTCCCCATCCAGATCAGTCAGCTTGGAGTTCTCTGGCTGGACCTTTTTGGTGTTGATCTCGGAGTCAGTAGTCAGCAGACGGTTCCACCACTCCATCTTTTTCACCTTCTCGATGGTGAGAAAAAAGGAGTTGTGGGAGCCAAGAGACTTCCTTCCAGCCTGCTGGGATGACAGACCACGGCAAACATACAAGCGGGGACATGAAATTGGAGATGATCACCGCTGTGTGGCAGATCGGCGGAAGTCAATGAGATCCCAATAGACATTCTTGGGTGTTGTCCTTTTTGTCTTCCAGATAAAATGTAGCTAATAGGAAATACCAATAAAACACTAACTTTGAAATACTTTCTTGGCCATCGCTGGACTAATAAATCCACACTCCACAGAGTAAAATTAAATAACTAATTGTTTTTATTAAATGGTGATATCATCTTATTTTATCCTTAGTATACGTGGTATGGCCAGGCTAATCATTGTGGCTAGAAATAGGTAGAAGTAGGCGACTGCTTTTACTGTAAGTGCATAACATATCTACATATGTGAAAATCAGTTTGATTTTGCGCTTACAAATGTACCAGAGGCCGTTTGGTTACTTGCACTTACTGGTGGTTGGACTTTATATATATAATCTTGAAGATAGAGGTTGCCTGGCCAGCATTCATTGTTCTTTGAAAAATACACACTACGGCCAGGTAATATTTATTTTCTTAACGTTTTAACAAATTATTTTATAATACTTATAAATGACTGCGGCGTATAATTATAAAGCTATACAACCAGTTTAACCGCATACGTTTCTTTTTATTTATGAAAAATCATTTTTAATTTCAAAGAGAAATAATTTAATATTTCTAACTTTTGGATGACGTATGAAAAGGTTGAATATATGAAGAGTGATGGTCTATATATGAATGGATGACGTATGGAGGGTGAAAAATATGAAGAGTAATGGCGAACGGAAAAATAAAAGTGTCCAGGAGCGGGAATCGAACCCACAACCTTCTGCTTACCAGGATAGCCTAGTGGACATGGCACCTGCTCGGTAAGCAGAAGGTTGTGGGTTCGATTCCCGCTCCTGGACACTTTTATTTTTCCGTTCGCCATTGCTCTTCATATTTTTCACCCTCCATACGTCATCCATTCATATATAGACCATCACTCTTCATATATTCAACCTTTTCATAAGTCATCCAAAAGTTAGAAATATTAAATTATTTCTCTTTGAAATTAAAAATGATTTTTCATAGAATAAAAAGAAACTTATGCGGTTAAACTGGTTGTATAGCTTTATAATTATACGCCGCAGTCATTTATAAGTATTATTAGTCAGTTTAAATATTAGTTACGAACGGAGAAATATCGTCCAGGATAGCCTAGTGGACACGGTAAGCAGAAGGTTGTGGGTTCGATTCCGCTCCTGGACACTTTTATTTTTCCGTTCGCCATTACTCTTCATATTTTTCACCCTCCATACGTCATCCATTCATATATAGACCATCACTCTTCATATATTCAACCTTTTCATAAGTCATCCAAAAGTTAGAAATATTAAATTATTTCTCTTTGAAATTAAAAATGATTTTTCATAAATAAAAAGAAACTTATGCGGTTAAACTGGTTGTATAGCTTTATAATTATACGCCGCAGTCATTTATAAGTATTATTAGTCAGTTTAAATATTAGTTACGAACGGAGAAATATCGTCCAGGATAGCCTAGTGGACACGGTAATCAGAAGGTTGTGGGTTCGATTCCCGCTCCTGGACACTTTTATTTTTCCGTTCGCCATTACTCTTCATATTTTTCACCCTCCATACGTCATCCATTCATATATAGACCATCACTCTTCATATATTCAACCTTTTCATACGTCATCCAAAAGTTAGAAATATTAAATTATTTCTCTTTGAAATTAAAAATGATTTTTCACAAATAAAAATAAACTTATGCGGTTAAACTGGCTGTATAGCTTTATAAATTCTTTTATCTTTGTCAGTATGAATAAATGAAAAATTAAAAAAAATTCGCGTGAGAACACCCTTGAAACCTCAGAACAATTTTTAACGTCTTGTCAAATGCTCTAATTTTATTTCGCTTAACGAAGACAAAATAATTTCGTTGTAACGTTTGGAAAATAAAACTTTTACTAGCCGAAGTGTTGTTTTCTCAAAGAAAAATGATATAATATATATATATAATATATTTATTAAAGATTTTCTGCTGTTTTTCGAATAATCTTGAGGATTATGCTATGGTAATGCAGTCGTGGTTAAAATCTTGAAACTATAATAAAAATATTGAAGATCAGAGATTTCTTTATTTAAGCTAAGAAATATATATATATATGGTAATTTAAACCAACAACCCCATATTGTGTATATAACTTATAATAAGATTTAATGTTGTATAATAGAAACACATCTGTAAATGATTATACGTATTATTGACATGTGTCTTTACATCATCATATGTAATGTAATTTGTACAAACTGAGGATAAATAAAAAAATCTGTAATAGATTAAGAGTTGAGCTAAGCAAGAGATAGAAGTCATAACGTCAAAATCGAGATAGATTTAGAATGCCCACAACAAGACCACCCACACTGTTCACAGCTGGTGGAATGCAAAGCCCCCTCTCACACCTGGTGACAGGCCCCCTTTCTCAGAAACGGCCCCCTGTCACATAAGGCCCCCCCGTCTTGACCTATAAATACAGTCCCTTTACAGTCACTTGACAGGTTAGTTCACCCTTAGCGCGAGCTCTCGTCGGTTGTCACCAAGGTCCTCCTCATCCATCATGTAGACGAGTAAGAAACTTCTATCTCCATCTTTCGCTCCTAGCTCAACTTTTATCTGTTAACGGAACTTTCTTAGTGCAATTGTGTCTTCGTTTTTTGTGTGGACATTCCCAAACTTTCCACTCTGCCTCGACCACGACTGCCTGTATTTTGTGAGAACTTTTAAAGGTCTTCCAAGGCGCAGAGAGGTACTGGAAAACTCTACACAAGGCTTACCAGAACTTCAACTTATTTCAGTAGTCGACATCAAACTCAACAAATTATTACAGCTAGTCGACAGGATTCTACAAGAGTCAACAGTAACTTCATCTCTTATTACAGTGAGCCGACAGGATACCTCACCACATCACATTTCTAGTCGACAGATCTCTACAAAAGCTACCGGAACTCTCATCTCATTACATATATATATATAGAAGCAATGGGCGCCTCTCCCGTCAAAATAAACGTCAAAATCTGACGCCATCTATTGACCGTCGCCGCAACTAGCGGCCTCGGGTCGGTGACAAAGCCACAACACCAGCTTTGGCAAACTGAGAAGCGTCCACCTAGAGACCATGGTTCCGGGCTAATGGCCCTCGTCAGTCTAGGGCGGACTTTATTCCATGAGATCCACACGGGATCTAATGGAATCTTCACAATCTACCAAAGAGGTGTTTTGCTAGCAATGTGGCTGGGCCAAATCTATGGCTAGAATATAGATGGAAAATTTGCCGGGAGGAAATTAATCCATAGAAGCAATGGGCGCCTCTCCCGCCTCTCCCGTGTGGATCTCATGGAATAAAGTCCGCCCTAGACTGACGAGGGCCATTAGCCCGAAACCATGGTCTCTAGGTGGACGCTTCTCAGTTTGCCAAAGCTGGTGTTGTGGCTTTGTCACCGACCCGAGGCCGCTAGTTGCGGCGACGGTCAATAGATGGCGTCAGATTTTGACGTTTATTTTGACGGGAGAGGCGCCCATTGCTTCTATGGATTAATTTCCTCCCGGCAAATTTTCCATCTATATATATATATAAACATAATTTGGTAAAAATACTGCCTGGCTTAAGGCGTAAGAATAAAAAAGGAATAACTTATTTACATAATGTACAAAAGGTTTGAGCAGGCCATCGGGAAACAACAACAATGAGTTTTTATTGAGGAAGCGTGACCTCTGGCGGTCGATTTAGCAGAGTATTTGAATCTATGATGTATAAATTATTATTATTATTATTATTATAAATAATATTTCAATATAACATATATACAGTAGGTAAAGTTATCAATTAAAGAAGAACATGTTCTATGTACCTTTTTGCTAAGTTCAACTCACAAATTAAAAATATATTATTCAACTTTTTATCCCGTTTAGAGTGTGTAAATAACATCTGTTATATAAAGCGCACGTGTGAGAAAAAATAAAATGGTAATTGCTGTGAGCAACGGCGTTCTAATTGTATTCAAAGAGCAAGGAGGCAATACCAGCTCAGCCAATCAGGCTCGTGCACGCTCATTACCAACTTTGTTTCGCCACTGTGGCGAAAAGCAAAAGGGTCAGTTATGCAAATTGACCAATCTCCTAGGCCCAATAATTAAAGGTTTCTCCATTTTTACGGTAGTTAGCTCAATGGGAATTTACCTTTCGTTTTCCCCTTCGCTGGGTTCCCTTGTTTCCCTCTCAAATTGGATCTAGAGGTGGGGCTCGGGATGTTAAAGGATTCACTTGGATGTTCCTTGGTCACCTATATTTGTTCCTTGACCAATATATTGTAGATTCCCGGAATAAATTAAAATATTCCATATCAGTTTCAATATACTCATGAGGATGGAAAAGATCTAAGAGAGAGAAGAGATCTTACATATTGTTATTCATGTCTATATATACTCATAGACAGAACTTAGAGAAGTGGAAAATATTTTTTACCGAAGGAGACAGAGGCAATTCTATCCACAATTGGTTATCTCGTGTGTCTACAATAAAGGTCACTGTATATCAAATATATTTCCGAGTTAACAAATGAAAACAATAAAACGCGAATGTTTCTTTTCCCAAATAAATCAAACTTCTACTGTTTTTACTGCAATGGAAACATAATGAGAGGGCTTGGTTCATCAGTGGTGAATATTTTACCATTACATTAAAACAGTAGAGGTTTTATTTATTTGTGAAAAAAAACATTCGCGTCTTAATGTTTTATTGGTTATGTATAGATGACGCGTTATTACTTTGTTTTATATTTCAGAGTTGTTGTCTGAATCACGATATACATGCTAAAAGGTACAACTTCCTTAAGTTTTGTCCATTAATTTATATGTTTATTTGATATGTATACTAAATATAATAAATTAAACTTTCTATTATCCTTACTGCGGATGAAATATAGTGAGAGGACTTGCTCCATGCATTGCTTGAAAAAATTAACTTCTATGTAATTCTATTGTCAAGAAGCTTAAGTCTATAGTTTGCATTTAAATACCATAACGAATATTTCATTTTTTAATGCCAGATATATAAGGAAAAATCATACAATACAGTATTAGAATTGTAAAAGACGGTCTGGTGGATTAATCTGACGAAACCCTGGGTGGGTTAACCAATAAGAACAGTAGAAATTTTGTTATATTTGTAAAAGAAAAACATTCGTGATTGACAATTTTATTTATCAAATATAGATGCCGCGGTATATTACCTTGTAATTTAGTTATATCAGATAATAACTCGCTACATGGAAATGTTTTTGGAACTGAAAATAGAGTTTGTTAATAGGAAAATTACACAGAACTGACATCAAATACTTTCCATTTCCTTAAGTTTTGTCCATGAGTGTAGATCCCAGATTCTATTTTTCTTGTTATTCTTGAATGAATATATGGATATTTGCATGGAAGATATTGATCTATATAAATAGATGCCACCTCTCCAGTCAAAATAGAAGCCTCTATAGTAAGGATCTAAGGAATGTAAAAACCAATTGTGAACCTCTCCAATCGTCTCATGTCTGCTAGTTGTGGCGATACATTAGAATAAGTTATTGGCAGGGAGGATATATGCTAATGAAGATTAAACAGAGATCCAATATACTACTCAGCCTAATGGACCAAGTCTTCAGTTGCATAAATTATAAACTGAGACATCTGCATTGACTCTAGTTCCCCAGCCGACTCGTGTCTTCGAGTCTGACGACAGGAATGTTTCAAAATGTCCAGGAAACTTTCGTGTGAAGATATCTATAGTAAACTGTCACTATTAGGTATAAACACTCTTCCAATATTTCCTTTATTATAATAAATTGAAAACATTTATCCATCACACAATCAAGTTGGAATGAAATATTGGACTTTGTACTATATTCATATTAGCATCGTCCATTAGAGCGCCATCTGTTATGAGGGATTCAAACTACAGGGTGATCCAAAAGTCCCGCACAATTTTAAAAATTAATAACTCCGCGAATATTTGCGCTAGAGCAATGTGGTAAACACCATTGTGTTCAGGATCCAATGGGATTTTTTATGGCAAATAATGAAAAATTCGAAATTGATTTTAGTTACAACTTTATTCGCTAGATGGCGCTCTACCAGAATCAGCTATTCAGCGGCCAAATTGTTTGATAAATTGAAAAATATAACTGAACGACACGTATTTTTCCTTTTTGAATATCAGGAAAAAACCCTAATAATATCAAATGATAAATTAATAAAACACCATTTCGCCAAAAGTTAGAAAAATGGTTAACGATTTTGAAATACAATCTGAGATATGTAAAATAGGTATATGCAAATTAAAACATGTAGCAAAAAATATTTATATTTTAGATGGAGTTTTGTGAAATAGATTGAATGTTTGAAAATAACTACTGATATCAATACACGATTTTTGAAATGTTAATATAGTACCAAA